AGCCAAAAAACAAAAATTTGATAAAAATTCACAAACCTGCGGAAAAAGGCAAGTTTTTTCACTTTGATTATTTTGACAAGAGCCTGATTCCACCATGCTGCCTCACAAATGTTTTATCCGCTCTGTCAAAATCATAATATTATTCGGAGACAAAAATAAAATGTACAAGGAATTGAATTTAAAAAAGCTGGACACGTTGTGAAATTGTTGTACGGCAAATTTCTCAAAACTAGTGAGAACTTGTGTTTTATTCTCCACCCATTTTCAACACTTATCAAACAAATGCCAATGGACAGTAGGCTACATTTCTGACAAAACATTTAGCTGTCTGAGGGAGGTGGCAAACTTACAATGAACATTTGTGAGGCTTGCTGACAAAATCAGTTACTTCTCACAATTCACAAAAGAAGATATTGGCCAAAATCAACACTAGGGTCAAATTTGTAGGTTTTCTATAGATGCAATATTCATTAAGTATTAATGCCTTTTGTTATCATACTTACAAATCGTAAAAATTTAACCTATAAGCATGAGATATCTAAATCTATTTCCATAGGCTCAAATCCGAGAAGTAACTCATTTTGTCAGCACGCCTCACATTTTTTATAACTGGAAAAAAAAAAATCTTTACCGTGAAAGTGTCAGGGGTTGCAGGATCAGTAAGTGGCCTGATCAGGTAAATGTTCCCAGACCGGTAGTCCACAGCGAAGTATGTCGAAGGTGTTTGCAAAGTGTATCCAACGACACCATAGGGGGCCTGAGAACAAATATAAACCAAGCTAGAGACAGAGTGAGAGGGAGAGAGACACAGAGAGAGAGACACAGAGAGAGAGAGACACACACACACACAGAGACAGAGAGAGAGAGAGATAGAAGAGAGACAGAGAGATAGAGACAGAGAGAGAGGGAGGGAGGTAGAGAGAGAGAGAGAGAGAGAGAGAGAGAGAGAGAGAGAGAGAGAGAGAGAAAGAGAGAGAGAAAGAGAGAGAGACAGAGAAAGAGAGAGACAACATTTGTGTGACCTTGAAGGTGGGAGGCATATATACGCATATATTTGTGTGTTTGCTTGTGTTAGTATAATGCTATTCACTAATATTTTGCCCCATATACTGTCAATCTATTTCACTGGACCATTAAGAAAGCTCATCCTTTCTTTTATCAACATAATCCATATTTTCCCGCAGAGAAAAGCTGAGATTTAATCTGCTGAAGTTTGTGAAATTCGTGAAGAAAAAAACAAAAAACAATCCTACTCACAGCTATGTTCCCCACATCAGAGAAAAACTCTAATCCTTATTCAGCGTCATGACTTGCCTTCGAAATAACCAAATTTTACGGTTAGAAAGGAATTTTTGTATAGTTCTATCTAGAAAGGGATTAAACTTCAACAAAAACATACCCCAGTATCACCGTCAGTGGCAACAACCCTGCCCACGATAGAAAGGATCTGGTCTTCATCCAGGGGTATGGTCTGGTTGCGCGAAGTGAACTGTGGTCTTTGCTGGTTCCGGTTGACGCGCACTAGTACAGAAGCCACATCCGAGAGTTGTGGGGTACCACCATCTACCGCCCGGATGGAGAACTAGAAACAGAAACCAGGAGAATCAGTTACTGAATAAATACAATGCGGTTCCCTGAAAAAAAAATCAGTGAGTTTCAGAAAGGAAGAAATAAAACAGCCGTTTTTACTTATCCCACAAGGTCATAGGCGAGTAAACACAGACACAGTTCCAATCTTCAGAAAAAAATTTTTTAATAATGCTGAGGGAGGTGGCAAACTTACAACGAACATTTTAGTTATTGGAAAAACAATCTTACCGTAAAAGTGTCAGGGGTTGTAGAATCAGAGTTTATTCACTTCAATTACATGTACATACTCCTCTTACAAATGTACTTCGAGCTGATACGCTCAGCTCTCAAATTCATGAAAATAAAAAGAAATAAGTAGGCCTAATATTGTCAAAAGTATATTCTTCACCCCACCTTGTATTCATCTTCCGTGCGTGATCTGAGACTCTGCGCCAGTGTCAAAGCACCGGTGGATGGGTTGATGCTGAAGAAGTTGGCGTACAGGGCGTCGTCAATAATCTCGTATCTTGGAGTGCTGTAGCGAGGCTGACATAGGCGTGGAGAGGAAAAAAATGGTAAGCAGTTTAAAAATAATAATAAATAGCATTTGTACAGCGTATATCACCGCTCGACCGCAAGCTCTTTACACTACATTATTACCTCAACCGACCATAGAACACTAAGAAGCATTCTCAGCTTCCCGGGAAGCATACAGTGCAAGCAGCTGATTGCGCTCAAACACTAACAAACTGACAGTTAATAACAATGTTAATTCTGAACTAGCAGTCTGCCAGCACCACACAATATTTTCAAAGTGAACAAACAAAGTGATCATATGTGAAGAGTGCTGACAAAATGAGGTGCTCCTCGGATTCAAGCCATATTGAAATAGATACATCATGCCTATAGGTGAAGTTTTTACAGTTTATAAGTATGAAATAATAAAAAGCATGTTATTCTTAAAGAATATAGCATCAATACAAAATCTACAAATTTGACCCTTGTGTCGATTTTTGGCCAATATCTCCATTTGTGGATTGTGAGAAGTAACTCATTTTGTTGCCACACCTCACATATATTTTTCTTTTTTTAGTATAAGATTTTCTTCTCCTGATTTTGAACTACGTACGAAGCAGATCAAACAACTCCTAAACTTTTGGGACAAGGACAGTACTTTCTGTGTTAAGAGTTTTCAATATAAAAAACAAGAACAAGAAAAAAAATTTTTTTTTTAAAGTAATTTTTTCTTTGAGAACAGACTTTCCTGATGTTGAAGTGGTACCCAATTACCTGCGCTCATGAAAGGAAAAATGTCTGAAAACACTAATCATAAATCAAGGACACAGTCTTGTGAAAAAGGAAGAAATAGAAAGTTGTAAATGACAGCATGTAGCCCAGATGGCTAGAAAAAGAAAAGTGAGGTATAAGGAACACACGTCATCCCAAACAACTACACAGAAATCACACTAAGACTAATGTGCACATTATTTCCAACAATAGAGGATCATCAGGGTCACCCCAGATAATCCTCATCATGATCACCATCACCATCATCATCATTGTATAAAGAAGGTATTAAAACAGTTAAGACCTTGTTGTGTTTCCAGAAATCATCATCATCGAGCGGTGATATGCGCTGTACAATCATCATCATCATAATCATCATCATCGAGCGGTGATATGCGCTGTACAATCATCATCATCATAATCATCATCACCGACTAAACAATTCCCTTTATTCTTGTTTCGTTTTTCTAGAAAACATAACAATTTGCACCATGTCAATACATTTTTACGTAACCTACAAATATCGGCACCAAAATCAGGACACAGAGAAACATTTTTTTAAAACTACAGAGAAATCAAATCCTCACATCTGTGTCCTGGTCATTTGCCCGTATGTTTGCTGGGATGGAGGAGCCCACTGTGGCGAGGTAGCTGATGTCTGGTACCACGTAGGTGCGCTCTGTGAACTCAGGTGGGAACACATTACGGATGACATTCACCGTGCAGCTGATGGAATCAGAGCGGCTGGCATTGTCTTTGTTGCTGGCAACCACTGTGAACTGCAGAATAAAGAAGAGGAGAAGGGATGAGTCAAGAGAAACTAATTCACAACCATGACAACTGGAAACCATGACAACTGGAAAGCATGACCCATGTATACCATGAAAAAAACCCCGATGTACCAGCAATGCCCTCCCCTGCTGGTGGGGGGCCGCGAAGTTTTACTTCGACATTGATGAAGCAGCCCATTTACAATTACAATTTTACTGTGCACAAGAACTCGAGATGTTAATGTCACCCCTCCAGGAATGGCCTAAAGACACTTCAATCAGTAGCAAGAACATGGTAATATCCCCCCTTTGGGAATGGCCTAAAGACAGTTCAATCAGTAGCAAGAACATGGTAATATCCCCCCTCCGGGAATGGCCTAAAGACACTTCAATCAGTAGCAAGAACATGGTAATATCCCCCCTTTGGGAATGGCCTAAAGACACTTCAATCAGTAGCAAGAACATGGTAATATCCCCCCTTTGGGAATGAACGGGTGAGTGAACAACATGAGGTCAACAATTGTACACTAAAAGCGGCACTCAACAGCAAGCACCGAGTCAAAGGTCACTCACTGTGTAACTCGGCTTGTTACTTATGTCCATGTATAGAGGATAATCAATGTAGACCTCGCCCGCTGCATTCACAGAAAAGTAGCCTTGATCGGCTGTGTTGGCAAATACTATGGACCAGTCAACTTCACTCTGAGAGCCCTGCGGAAGGAGAAAGAGAAAAATGTTGAAATTATTCAAAATTTAAGGATGCTAGTTTGTTATTCATTATTTCTGGATGTTTTTTAGGCTTTATTAACACAAATATTGGCCAGTCAAGTCAAATGTTCATGTTTTCTTGAACAGCAAGCTTACACTATATAAACTATTTCGACATTGATATACCCATGTTACTGAGCACAAAACAAGAAATGTGTTTATAAAAATAATACCTCTCTGAAAGGAGCACTTCTGGAAAGAGCCTGTCTAATACAATCGTTTTTGAAAGATGAAACTTACTGGTCTATCAGAATCGAAAACGCTGAAAGTGAAGATTGGACTAGTGATGGGGTCATCTTCAAACACGTCTCTGCTGATACTGCTCTGGTCAGGTCGTATGACGGGGTCGTTCAGGTTGCGCAGAACGTTGATGATGACAGAAACACCCCCGCTCAGACGCGGCTTTCCAAAGTCACTGGCAGCAATCAGAAGCTGTGCAAAGAGAGACGCCCACATGAAGAACATCAATAATTAATTTTCACATTTTTCTCTAAGGTTTTGTTTGTGATTGGCTTCTTAGTTTAGTTTTAGTAAGAGTTTTACGGCACTTGCAACACCATAAGGTCATATAAGTGCCGTGATTGGCTTCACAACAACAACAAAAAAATGCGTATAACAAATTGGTAAGACATTGTTCCTAAGAACATTTCAATGCTTGATATTGTTGAAAATATGAGTGAGAAGGGAAAAAATATGCCACAGGAACAATAATTATACCGTCTTGGGTCTTCTTTTCCATTGTTTGAGATTGTCTGTGTAACATATTACCCTAGTTGACAATAAGCAAAAGATTTATTCATTTTCTGATGGTGAATAAAATACTATTTCTCTGTCCACAGCACAATATCAACCCTTACAGGGAAAAAAAACAGTTTACTAATAGTACTGCAGTCTTTTATCTTTATGGCTCAAAATATAAATATCATAACTGTTGACTCTTCTTTTTTTTTTTATCATCACATTTGTACCATTCATGGGAGCACCCCGTCTCCCTTGGACCCCAGTTCTACATTCAAGTATTCAAGTAACTGCATCATTTCTAGCTTTAACACTTTGCCTCCTCATTTTGGAGAGAATCCAGAGAAACTGGGTGGTAAACATTAGAGCTGGGCGAAGAGTCGATTCTGGAACCGATTCCCACGATTAACACTACGAAAGTAAAGTTCCGTCTCCTTTAGGCGTAAAGCAACGGTTGCCAGTTATTTTTATCCTTAAAAATCTTCTCTTTTTTAAAGAATTATTTTTGAAAAAATAGAAGTTGGTGCTTCGTAGCGTTCCGATATCAAGGTTATCCTAAATCCTGAAGATGTTCGGAGCCAACCAGGAAAAAAATAACATTATTAGAAAGTAAGTAATTGGGTTCGGAGTCGATTCCTACGATCCCTAGCTTTCAATAATCGGGAACCTAGCCGCCCAGCACTAGTAAACATCGCCAATCGGCGATATAAGGGGGCAAAGTGTTAACGCTCAAACCCATGAATGGACCCACTTCTATTCTGTTTCACTATCCAAGAACTCACGGTATAAGGACTGATGTTGCTGGTCTGAAGACTGCTTGTCAAGGAGATGGCCCCTGAGGCAGAGTCAACTGAAAACAGTGTAGAGATGGGAGCCACACCAAGGAGAGAGTAATCGAAACTGCCAAATCTCTCTTCCTGTGAAATAAAAAACAAAGATCACTTATTCACCAACCCGTTACTGGCAGTGATTCATTATCTTAAAAGAAGTGAAGAGATGGATGATGATACCATGGTGGTTGAAACTACCTGTATGCCTTGCCACCGGTACATAGGTTAGTAGTGGTAGTATAGGGTTTTACGGCGCTCGCAACTGCAAAATGTTCATAGGTTAGCGAGACCGTATCTCCAACCAAGCCAGCCTGGGATAAAATGCATGCGGAAAACAGTGTTGACTACACGCGATGTTATTGATTATTTTGAAGATCTTTCTGAATTAGATGCTGGAAATGATGAGGACTACCCTGAATTGTATGTCTGTCCCCATTGTTTTATGTAAGAAAAATTCTGAAATAATGCAAACTGAGCCCAAAAATGTGAAATTATGCGATTCTGTTAATTTTAACAAATAAAGATAAAGGAAATAATCAGAAATTATTCAAAAAATTATCAAATTTTGCTAAGCAGGGAGCATAAAACCATGTATGTGGAAAGTGATTTTGATGATCTTATTGAGGTTCGTAATATAGCGCTCAGGAGTGGCAGCACCGTAGCCTCCGGAGGTTAGTGCTCAAACGGTTAATTAATAAATCTTCTGCTGGGAACATACCCCAGCATCACGATCGGTGGCATTGACGTTGAAGAGCACAGATCCTGGCGCAGTTGTCTCCGGCACCACGATGGTGTAAGAGCGAGTGGGGAAGGCGGGATTGAAGTCATTACGGACAAAAGAGATGGTGGATCTAGCTGAGTTGGTACTGCTTGCTTGAGGAATACCCGAGTCAGAGGCTGAGAAGTCCAGCTATGGGAAAGAAGAGATTAATGAAAACATTGTCACTGATAAGACATGACACATGGATCAGTCATCGTTGTAGCAAATTCATCTGCTGGTCCTTTGGAGAAATCTAAGAAACAACGACAAGCAAACATAATAATAATAATGTAGGTCATTTCTATGGCGCCCACTCCCGTGTGAACACATCTTGGCGCTTTACATAAATGTATGTATGTATGAACAATATTCACACACACGTGCAGACGTGCACACACAAACAAACACACACTCACGCACATTACATGTACACATTACAAGCACACATTACATGCAAACACGCACACGCACACGCGCACACTTACAAACACACACAAAGGGAACCTGCATGAGGACAAACAAAACATAATATAGTCATTAAGTCAAATTTCCTACTGATAGCCATATCAAAATAACATTTCATTATGTTCTCAAATTCTAGTCAGCAATCACACGCGTTTCAGTAATGAAGAAGTAGTGGCAGTAAAAGAAAAAGATAGAGACTCAAAAAGATTTCGCCTCTTTACTCAGTTTTTATTGATTTGAATTCCAAGAATGTCTGAAAAAGAAAGCTTACCACGCATGAAGAAACAGGCCTTGAGTCCACAAGGTTTCCAGTGGTGGAGACAACTCCAGTGTCTGGGTTGAGATTGAAGTACAGACTACAGTCGCCAGGGGAGTAGCGGCTCACGACAAAGTTCACATCAGTCTGGAAAGACACAAATATATATATATATATGAGGCTGTTAACACTTTCTTTCTTGTGCACACATTCCCTCAACGACAAAGCAAGATTTTTTGCGCTTGTAACATATTCAAGAATACTGCTGAAAGATTCAAACTTAACACTTTGCAGTCACACAGCCAGCAGTACAAAATACTCCATCTAGTCACTCTGCCAGGAGAGCGACTGCAACGGACTTCTCTGGCCTGGCGCAGACCGGAACGGATAATTTTCACCGTCGCATTATTGCACCAAGTGAACGCAAAGAGTTAACCGAAGTCTAAAAGGCATTTTTGTTATAGAAAATAGAAAAAACAATATTTCAAAATACGCAGTTTCTGATTGAAGACACCGGATCTACTGAAAACTGCTCAGTTTTTTTGCCAAACATGAAGTTCAACTCAAAACCAGGGCGCCAACAGGTTGCACAATAAATCCTCAACTATTCAAACCCCGTGGAAATGTATGGTCAAGAAATTAAAGTTTACAGATCATATTCCCCGATACATTTTGTATCAATACTATTTTTATATATAGTGCAATATGAAATGCATATAGAGATAAAACTATAAATGGCTGGGGCAAAATCCAGACTTTCAAATCCAGATTTCTTTTTAATTCCGGAAAATTGGCGCCTCTGTTGTGTGAAGGTGCAGTGTGGAGGATGAGCTAGCAGTTACAAGACTTACCCCATCCAACAGTTACAAGATTTACCCCATCCAACAGTTACAAGACTTACCCCATCCAACAGTTACAAGATTTACCCCATCCAACAGTTACAAGACTTACCCCCTCCAACAGTTACAAGATTTACCCCATCCAACAGTTACAAGATTTACCCCATCCAACAGTCACAAGACTTACCACATCCAACAGTCACAAGATTTACCCCATCCAACAGTCACAAGACTTACCACATCCAACAGTTACAAGATTTACCCCCTCCAACAGTTACAAGATTTACCCCATCCAACAGTCACGAGACTTACCCCATCCAAATCTTCAGCTTCCAGGGTGAACAGGGAGGTCCCAGCATCTAAATCCTCATAAATCGTGGTGTCATAGTTGGTGCGGGTGAACCGTGGCTCATTTGGATTACGATTCACATTAATGGTCACTGAAGAAGTAGCCTTCAGATTGGGCCGCAGGTTGTCATAGGCGATGACACACAACTGCAGGAGTGGTGAGAATATAGATCAAAATATTTCCACCCATATACACACGGAAACAAGCATATTTGAAGAACCCGGTAAATTTCTTTAACAATTTCTTTCTGTCAAGTACATATTTATACTGGTAGACAACAACATACTGCTAGATGCAAAGTGGCCAACTCTGAGGTTAAACAATTTTTAGCCGATATCTTTCCCAGGAATGTAAAGACCTATGTTCTCATAATTGAACTTTTTCTGTTCAAGCGACTGAAATGTTCTAAAAAGCTATCTAATTCCCTTGCTTTCAATGAAGGAATTACCCATTTATCTTTAGTACAGGCCAAGATATTTGCGATTGAAAGAGGTGGGGGGTCGCCTGTTTTGAGAGGTAAAATAGGTGACAAAATGGCCGCTAAAGAATGGTTATTTACAAAGCCTCAGAGTCTGTGGATACTGACAGTTTACATTTTTTGTGCCTTTAATCAACATTTTTCAACATGATTCACACTGAAATGGGTTCTTAAAAGGACATAGAAGGTATTGAGCCAAAAAACAAAATTTTCATAAAAATTGCCAAACCAGCAGAAAAGTGTCAGTTTTTTACTTTCATTATTTTGACGAGCACCCGACTTCACCACGCTGCCTCACAAATAGCTCACCTCATAGGACAGAGCCCGATCGGCAGCCACAGGCTGTCGCACAGTGACAATGCCCGTATCCTGAGCCACAGTGAAGTAGCTGTTGGCAGACAAAAGCCCACAGTTGGCCTCATACACGAGATTGCCCTGGAGGGAAAATTGAAAAACGGGAGAAAATACACAAATCAGAGTTACTCGTATTTCACTCCATGGCCCTGTACGGAAAACTGAAAATGGGGGAAAATACACAAATCAGAGTTACTTCACTCCATGGCCCTGTACGCAAAACTGAAAATGGGGGAAAATACACGAATCAGGGTTATTTCACTGCATCGCCGTGCATGGAAAACTGAGAAAAGGAGACAATACACTTATCAGAGTTATTTCACGGCTACATAGAAATTTCAATTTAACAAGAGTGGATTCTACCCTAGAAGGTCTGTTTTTTCTTATAAATGGTAAATAAATAACAAGAAGAATGTTAATGCTAAAAGCACATGCATGGAATATCTCGTTAGAATCTTTTCCAACGAACACTATTAAAGAACTGAACAAATCCAGGTTGATGACACATTAACTATCACAATGCCAATCACAGATATCCTAATTTACGTGTGAATCGATAAATAAGAAAGCAAAATCATCTAGCAGTACCAAGTGAGGTAAAACTCCAATAACACAAAAATGTTTTGCTCAGGTTTTACACACCAAGAACAGATTCTAAGTTTGAACAAGCCCTCGGGTGATGAAAGAAAGAATGCTGTTCCATCTGTTATCCGTCACCAGAATCAAAAACAATTATATTCCTCTCACTAGACACCACGTCATTAACAAAAGCATAAATTTGTTTATTCAATGGGAATGATCATTTGCCTCAATGACTTTGCTTTCTTGGCTTTCAGGATTTCTGTCAACAAAATAAGACAAATCTGCTCAAAAAGCAATAGGATAAAAGATTTTTAAAAAACAGAAGACTAGAGGAGATCAGGAGGGTTGTAATCCATGGCAAGTAAGCTTGATAAAGGCAGCTTTTCACCAAGAATGGATCAGATCAATAATAACAAAGAAAAAAGTAATAGATGCAAACCACACTCATCCCCACAAATGTCTATATGTACAGTGAAAAAAAAGTACCACATGGTCCCAGTCATCTAGACACTGCCACTGTCACCAGTAAAATAACTATACCTGTAAATCCGGATCGTCCGCTGATACTCGGTACACAAAAGTCGTTGCTGGGTCTTGGTAATTAATGGATGCACGATACTGGTTGGGGTTAATAAACACTGGTGTTCGGTCCTTCGTGATGGTAATCCGGACAGTGGCTGTGGCTGACTTCTCCTCAACAAAAGCCTGGTCCCGCACAACCACTTGAAACTGTGAAAGAGACATACAGAGTCCTTTATTCATCAGCTTACCCGCTGGGGTAGGAGAGAAGCACCCGACACAAAAGCCGTAATTCATTCCTCGGGAAAAAGACAGACACAATTTATGTAAAGTTACCTGGCGGTCTGATGAGTCAGGTCTGTCAGGGAGCCCCCGTCCAAGATAAGTGTTTTATAAGTAAATTTATAGACAGGGCGTTTTCGGCTGTGTATGAGTACTTATGCAGATACTATTGCCTGCCCATTGTTCATTCCTCCTCAAAGTAGTCGGTAAGAATAAATTAAATAAGTAAATCTAACTTATTTTACCTGATCTCATCTTTCAAGCTTACCTTACTTTACCTTCCTGGTGCGTGTGAAAATAGCACATTATACTGACACCTCTTCAACAACACACACACAGCAGTCATGCTAGTTAGGTCTCTTATTTCCAGCTCAGTTACATTTTTGTCCTCTTCCCATTTCAATTTTGTTCCATTTATGGATGAACTTCAATGAATCCATCCTCTTACTGAACCATAACATTAATATCCCACAGTCAACACAGAAGTTTGTTTTGTAGGCTCCAAAAAACCTTAGAATTAGAGACAAAATTCATGGAGAAGATTGTTTATTCAACTTCCTCTACAACTTCTAATACTTCATAACTCAAAGCACTTTATCATACTTCTTCATAACTCACCTCCACAAGGTCGAAAGAGATTCCGGTCAGTGGTCTTGCGACTGAGACGAGACCTGTACTTCTGCTTACATGGAAGTAATCTGCTCTGTCTGGATTTACAGTTGACGGGACCTTTGTGTACAGCAACACATCCTGAACACACACAGAAGGGAAACGGAAAGAGGGGGTAAAGACATGTTACAAGGTATCACTCATTCGGATGATCATTTCACTCATTCAGATGATCGTTTTCTGTAAGCCCAAAACAAGTAGAAAATATTATCCTGCACAACCTAAAGTTCAAAACTATCAATTAACTGATATAGAAAACAAAGCATCGTAACCACAATTGAAGTCAAAGTCATCAAAAAGGACAAGAGACACAGCTTTTTTAATATCATGCTGTTGACCTTTCTCGAGAAGTTCAAGTGATGTCAAAGACTCAAAGCAAAGACTCAAAGCAAAGACTCAAAGTCCTTCACCAAAAATCAGAGGAAATCTAAATGAATTTAGTGCATGTCTTCAGGCTTCGAGTTCTGAATCAATTTATTTATTTTAAAGCCATTATGAAACATAATGATCAACCTTTAAAACATACAAGAAAGTTTGCTGAAAGTCTTTGAATATGACCATCTCAACTAAAGACATCAAAACATTTAAAGAATGCAGTAACTTTTCACACCGATAAAAAGCCAACATACCCCATCATTATCAGAGGCATTCACTCTGACAACAGACGATCCAAGGAACGCATCTTCGCTGATTTCTTCCTCGTAAAGAGTCGGAGACAGCACAGGTCTGTTCAGATTTCTCCTTACAGTAATGCGAGCAATAGCAAAAGCTTCCTGGGTAGTGACGGCGAATGTTTTCTCTGCTTTCAGACGAAGCTGTATAAGAGGAATTAAAATTTGAATAACTGAGTTATATATATTTTTTAAATTCTTTTTTAATAGTAGAGGGTTTTACGGCGCTCGCAACTGCATAAGGTCATATGATCGCCAAGGGGTGGGTGTCAACAGAGAAGTCTTTACAGTGAATCAGACTTAGACTGCTCACCTCTCTAGCTTCAACAGCACAAGGTCTGCTTCGACTATCAAGGCACCCCGGAAATAGCAGGTCACAAGAGAGTGACAAACATACAAAAGAAGTAGAGGAAAATGACAATAGTGAGGATTAGGAAAGAAAAAGCAGCAGTTCCCTGTTGTAGATCAGGCACAGTTGTGAGCATGACATGAGTCAGCCCATTTACAATTCTACTATGCTTGAATGAGAAATGTCCCCCCCTTTGAGAATGGCCTAAAGACACTTCAGTCAGTGGCACTGCCCCGGGGGGCAATAACTGAGATAGATCCAGGATGATTATTTTTAAGAAATTAAAAAAAAACATTCAATTAAAAGTGCTCTACTGCAGTCTCAAAGGCAGAATTTCCTGGTCAGAGGAAAAACAAAGAACAGACTGTATACTGACAAGAAAGTACTCACAAACAGTCATCTATTTTACTTGATTGTTTGTTTGAGTAGGAGTTTTACAGCACTATCGACTCGCTTTTGTTCATGTAAGTGCTAAAAAACATCTTGCTGTTGCAAATCTAGTTTTGTATTAAAAGGACAGACAGACACTTATGAAAACCTTTGCAATTTTGGTAAAAGTTAAACTTACATGTGTATTTACAATATTAATTTCAGCGTACATATATTTTTATATGTGTGTGTGTGTATATATATATATATATATAGTATACATATGTATATCTATATTTTTGGAAACAATCCAATCTCTAATAAAGGCCTAAATCCGTGCTCAGATCAACGACGTCGAAAAGAGCCTTAACATCCCTGCATCTGAAGTATTTCACACACACATGATGAAAATCGACACACTCCACCTGGACGTGCCGAACGGTGAAATCTGTGTTGCAAGACTATTTTTTAAATGTAGCACTTAGACACGCGAATGCATACCATGTACAGGGTATTCTTGGACGCATCCAGGCGGAGATCTTTTTTCACAAAAATGCGACCAGTGGTGGTGTCAATGTCAAAGTACTCAGGCCCAGTGCCTGTTCCAATGATGCTGTAGGTGATGTTGCCCTGCAGGAAAAAGAAGACCAGGTTCTTGTCAGTTTTAGTGCAGTAAAGATTAAGGTTCACCATCATCATCATCATCATCATCATCATCATCATCATCATCATCATCCTCATCATCATCATCATCATCATCATCATCATCATCATCATCATCATTATTATCATCATTACCTTTCTCACCTTGGATACACCCCACACCCTTTCTCTCCCCCCCCCCCCCCCCCCCGCCCCCAAACCACATCCAATCCCTTCCAAAACATAATTTTTGCAAATTAAAATAAGTCTAGGACAACAAGATCAGAATTTTCTGGTGCACTATGTCTCATTATAACCCCAAAAGCTTGCCTCCATCTTCTAAATGGCAGAAACAAACGCTTAGTCATTACTAAAAAAACTTGGTTCGGGAATAGTTCTGAAAAAACAAGCAAAACCTAGCACCAAGTAGAACTAAACAGTTGTCACTAGTATTGGACTCTCCCGCATCCGATGGGGAACAAGGTTATTAACGTCAGACGCTATTGGGGTTAAAAGAGTTGAAGCAATTGTTGCTTGCATTTTGCTTCTCTATGTGAGGCTTGCTGACAAAATAAATTACTTCTCACAATCCACAAAAGGAGATATTGGCCAGAAATGAACTCTAGGGTCAAATGTGTAGGTTTTCAATAGATGCAATATTCATTAAGTATTAAATGCTTTTTGCTATTTCATACTTACAAATTGATAAAAATTTAACCTATAAGCATGATGTATCTATGTCCATAGTGCTCAAATCTGAGAAGTAACTCATTTTGTCAGCACACTTCACATATATTCTATAGTAGACTTTATATCTTTATATGCACAGTAATTAGCAATGAAAAAGAAAAAAGAGTTGTGAACAAAATCACGGTCCATACCGTTGGGGTTGCAGATGCTGATGTGAACGGCACATTGACATCGAAGGTCTCAGCAATTATTGCATCAAAGGTATTGGCCGTGAAGTCCAGTGTGCTGCCATCTGTGGTCACGCTGATTAGCAGGGAGCACGTAGCAGTATTGGAGGGAAAGCCACCGTCACTTGCAAGGACATTAAGCTGGGAAATGAAGAATAAAAACAAAACAATTGAAATATAGCTCTCGCTGAGAAAGAAAGCTCTTCTTTTTTTTTCCTTTGTCAGAGTTTTACGGCCCTCGTAACTGCATAAGGTCATATGAGCGAGTGGGCCACATTAAACATTTTCAGTTGAAAACTTTTCACACTAGCAGAATATATGAATGCAAAAAGGCATATGGTTTCCTAAAAGACAAGAGACAATATGTGCTTGTGTAAAATCAATGTAAATATCTATAAATAGCAGGGTTGAAACACAAGCAGTGAAATTCCCTTAAAGACTTGGGGATCACAGGAGAAGGAGGAGGAGGAGAAGGAGGAGGAGGAGGAGAAGGAGGAGGAGG